GTTGGGGTCCACGTTGATCCAGTTGTTGGCGATCCACTTGGTGCCTTGGGTGACCAGGCAGCCCCCATGCAGGGCGAAATCGTCCAGCTCCCCCACCCAGCCTGCGGAGCAAAGCCCTGTTAGGAGGTGGCGAGGAGCACTGCAGCGCAGGCAGGCACAGCCGGGGCCGCACAGGGAGGCACGGCCAGCGAACGCTGACACCAGCTCTCCTGCCCACGGCGCCTGCTTGGATTTTAGCTCAGATACGTCTTACGGGAGTTGGCTCCTCCTGGCAGCCCTCCATCTTAGTGCTACCCCACCCTAGCACCTGCGAGGAGCTCGCCAGGGCAAGTCTCCCCAAGTGCAACATGCTCGTTGCCTCCGTGTCTCCACTCAGCACAAGGGGCTCTCGCATTCTGCATCATGGCTGCTGTTTTTCTCAGCTCTTCCCAAAAAGGGAGGCTGGCATGGAAGAGATGGGTGCTGCCACTAGAAGGCCCGTGGAAGTTGGAGGCTCACAGCCCTCTTAGAGATTGCACTTCAGCAGTTCTAAATGAACCTCTCTTTACAGAGGTCCCATGGTTTTTCTGTGGCAGACTTGCATCAGCAGCCGCCTTCCATTTAGGAACAATTTGCTCGTAAAAACACAACAGGGCTCTTCTTACAGGAGAGCGATGGTCTTGATATTATCATCCAACAGCCCAAACGCTGGTCCTGTGACCTCCTATGTGGATTTTCTAGAGATGGAAACACGGGCTGCTCTCGGGGGAGCTGGGATGCTACACTCTTTCCTCCCACCACTGTTCAAAATCTGCCTTCGAAACACTCTGGAGTCATACTCACCAGCAGCCTGGAAGATTCATGTCAATTCCCCAGCCTGGCTGTCAGGGAAAACTGCGCTGTGCTTCATGAGAAAAACAGCCCCAAGGACACATATCATCAGGCTGCAGCTGAGCTATAAAGCAGAGTCGGGCCATGCCTCCCTGTGCTGCAGAGCTGATGGCCGTGCCTTTGTCCACCTCCCCTCCCCACCCCTTTGGGCAACACCACATCAGTGAAACATTTTGAATTGCAGACCAAGTTCCAGCAGGAGTTTCAGCTCGCACAGCAGGATGGAAGGCAGCTGGCGATGGCTAGTGCAGCCAAGGTCTTTGTTTGCTAGCTAGTCCTGTTCCCCAAAGACATCAGGAGCCACTGACCTACTGCCTGTAAACAAAGGCCTTTAAGGGTCAGGAAGCTCCTACCCAGCTGGTGACAAGTAGACTCTACAGTTCCCACTAGCAGGCAACTACCACCCTTTGGCTTTCTTCTGAGCTCCCAGCTGCTGCAAGAAGACAATGGCTGTCACCTCCTGCAGTCCTACCCCTCCCAAGAGCCGAGTCTTGAAACGGGACCGTACCTTCTCCGTCTGACAGGTAGTTGTACCAGAAGACGGCAGTGCCTTGCTGAGGTTTCACTCGCAAATTGCCCTTGTCACAGTTTTTCCGAGTATCTCGCAGGTCAACATCGTTCTGGATCAAAGACTGGCAAGAAACCACAGAGAAGGTGTCGCAAACGGGGCTGGAGTGAAGCGCACGCACTGGGCTGCCTCTGCTGCCAGCCATCATCCTGCCCTGTCCCTGGATGCCCCACAGGGACAGCTCAAGGCTGACGCTGGGCAGGACAGGGCTTTCACAACCCACCCGGAGCAGACAGTTTCAGCCACCTGGAGGTCCGTGACCTGTTCCTGAGCAGCTGCCCATTCCTTAACGCGTTACCTGACAGGAGCACAACATACCTGCCAAGACTTAGTCTGAGGAAACCTGCCCAGACAGAAGCGAGCAGGACCTGCGTTATGGCAGCAAGGCCAACAGACTGCCCCTCGTGCCTCTGAGTGGGGAGAGCTGCAGCTGTCAAAGCCCTGCGCCTCTTCCCTTGGCCTCAGAGGGACACAGCTTCCCCATGCTCTAGCTACGAAGGCTAACGTCCACCCACCTCACACACCGGACCCCTTCTGCAGCCACGGCGAATAAAGGCATTCAAAGAGGGACTCAAAATCCCCAGGGGTAACATGTAGGTGAGATTCATTTACCATCTCTTCATATGTCCTGTTATCAGCTATAGGAAAGACAGTTTCGCCTCCCCCAGTCACATTGTTCAGGTAGAACAGCACTGTCACATACCTGCAAGACAGAGTGGCTGTCAGGGGACACAACTGGAACAGGAGGAGATGCACAGGGGCTGTCCGTACCCTGCCCCTCCACCATACATACAGCGGTTCCTCCAAGACATCACAAGATACGTGATTTACATCATCAGCTTTTCTCCAAGGACAAGACAAGGACAAGAAAATCCCCTCCCGCAACGGTGACAGTGTGTTTCTAGCCTCTGGTGGGGATGGCCCAGCGGCTCTGCAGAACCACTCTGCCCTCCTCACACGGACCCGCAGGCTTCACCCACCTCCCCCTTCAAACCCCTTCATGCCAGCGATCTCCAGAGCTGGTTTGCTAGCCCACTACCTGAGCACCGAGCCCCACGCAAGGTGAGGTGAAACGGCTCTCCACACCTCTTCTCTAGTGCGTTCCAGATTGTGCCAAGGCAGACCTTACCGGCAGGAGGTCTCAAAGGGAGCGCTTTCATTGGCGACCAGCTTCGTGTGGCTGCAGGCAGTCTCGGGGAAGACAGGGCCACTGTCCATGTGGGCATGGTAGTGCCCTCCTTGGTCGTACCGCACAACCTGGAGGGGCTCGCTGTGCTCCACAATCTCGGGGGGCAAGCGAGTCAGGCGCATCACCCTGGGGAAGAGGAGAGCAGAGCAGGTGAGGGGAAAGCACCATCACCCTGGTTGGCCGCTACTCCCAAGCACCGAATAAATCCAGAGAAAGATAACCCCCTTCCCCAACAGACCGGAGAGACGGATGGGCTGCAGCAAGCATGCCAAAAGATAACTAGGTCCTTACAGATCTGTTGGACCATCAGCATCAGCTCAGAAAGTCCTCGTCAAGGTTAATAAAAAACCCCAAAACCGAAGGGTGCATCTCCAGCAGGACTGCTCTCAGGAAGACTTTGCTTGCTCAGAAACATCCCTTCTGTGTGTGTCCCTGGAGCCTTCACGTGCCATCTCATCGCTTCTCTGGACTCCTGCACACCACCTACAGACCTCAGGGACAGTTAGCAAAGCACAGGGCCCCTGCTGAGAGTGAATGAGAGACTAGCTCTAGGAATATTCTTGTCACCTAACTCACCTTTTCCCGTTGCCTTTTCAGCAGCCTCCCCCCAGGGCAGAGGGGCACAGGAAGTGATCAAGGAGACCGGAGCCCCCCTGCTCTGGGATTTTTCCGCTGCTACATCTGAGATCATCCCCAAGGCAAGCAGGTACCTCTCGAGACCTGCCAAAGAACACTCAGAGCTCTGAGAATTTCAGACTGGTGAAGCCCTTGGGGCAGGCGCAAGGGGAACGCGGCACCCAGGCAGGATGGCAAAGCCCCTCCAGGCACCGCACGGTCCCAGGGAGGACTGTAACAGCCTCTTTCAGCACTATGTCTTCATGTCCTTGTAACAGTGGGGCCTGCTGAAGAGTGTAAAAGCAGTATGCCGATGCCTGTGTGTGCTGGCTAGCTGGCACGGAGAAGGTGGCAGCCACAGTCTCCTCTAATCAAGGCAATATGTGACCCCATTCTCCCGCTGGAATGCACTGAAGAAAAGGAGTGGCCAACAGCCGTTTTCAAGCCTCGGGACAGATTTTACCCACCCATGTTCTGGGCAAGGACCAGCACCACAAGAACAAGAGAGTCTCCAGCCAATTATCTGAAACTCACCACAGCTAAACGATTTGGCCTGTGCGCTGGGTTTCAACGCTTGCCAGTACCAAATCTGAGATGAAGGGAAGGGTAAGAGGTTCTCCCGTCTGCTGTGAGCTGCCCTGCGATATGTGTGCTCAGAGGATTAAACTAACTTGGCTTACTTGAGGTGAAGTCGTGCTTGTTAAAAAGTCAGCTCTGAACAGCTAAGACAGATTTCAGTGAAATGCATGAGTAACTAAAGCAAATGACAGTAACTACTGGCACCCAGACAGCATTGGAAACAGGCAGTTTCTCCCAGTAAACTCATTTACTAATTAGAATTAATTATTTCATATAATGCCAAGTCTTCTTGGTTTTATAGGGCTGTTCCCAAAAGTGAATGGAGATGCTGAAAGGTTTGATTTTTCTTTTTCCTTTTCCAAGGGACAATACAAATTCTTGTTCTAATGAAAACCTCCTCTCCCCATTTTGTGTCTGTGTTCATTGCTCTTTATACTCCAAAGACTTTCACGCAATTAGGAAGTGTGAATATTAGCAAGTCTGCCACTGCCTCTCCCAGCGCAGGTGGTCCTCGTGCCTACACAAACCCAACGGCCCCTCGGCTGCCTGGCCCTTACCTTTGCCGTATGGCTCTCATGACCTGGTGTGCCCCCTCGCCCTGGTACAGCCAGGTGTGCTGGCTGTTGCGCACCAAGTCACTCATCTTCACTTTCTGGCTTCCCATGTACTTGTGGAAATCACGGATATTCAGTTGTTTGAACTCCTCCAAACTCAGCACACCTACGGGAAGAGAGGAAAAGCTGGCTGACTCTGGTGCAGGTAATAGCTCTTGGCGTCCTGTACTCGGAGAAACCACCAGCTGAGGGCACCGCAGAAACTGCCTTCCTCAAACAAACCCCATTCAGGGTCCACCACTGTGCCCGCCACGGGCTGCACCTGTATGTGCAGCATTACAGACCCCAGCAACGCTCTCACCTTTAGCTGAGCGGAGGGCATACAGCAACCTGCAAAAGTGAACCGTTAGCTGCCACGCAGGGTCAGAACTGGGATGGGAAAAATACCATTTTGAACTTTCAAAAGCTCCTAAAACACACAAAACAATCCATCAAAAGAGAGAAATAGCCACTGCAGTTCTAATGTGCAATGCCACAGCTAGAAAGCCTGCGCCAACTGATGCCTTGGGGCTTGTTACTTATTTAAATAGACACATTTAAGAGCAGAGTGGGACACCTCAGACCACATTTTCTACAAGACCTTGCATGGTAATTTAAAAAAGCCAAACCCAAAACAAGTGGTACATTCTTCTGCATTTGTGTAATTGCAAAACATGAATGAGAAATACAACAAAGTATGATGTTGCGTAAGTAGAAAAAACAGAAAAGTGAGAGGTAAAAAGTGGTTTCTACTAAAACAGGTATTTCTTGTTTGCACTCAACTGGACTCAGCAAGGGATGGACTTTTGCCTTTGTTGGCTTCAGAAAAATCCTCACGTTTGTTGTTTCCCCTTTCTGAAGAAGAAGGAAGCCCTGCACTGGGGACCAGGTCCCTGGGACCAGAGTGTGCAGAGTGCTGCAGCGTGCTGCCCGGCAGCCAGCACGCATCGTGGGCTGTGAGCGGAGCTCGCTCAGGCAGCAAACCCGGTGCTGCTGTGGTGCCAGCTCTGCTCCCCGGGCACACAGCACCCTCTGGCAGGAGGAAGGACTGGCTACAAGGGTCAGCCTGGGACAGTTCCTCAGGTGCCAGTGGTCGTGACCAAATTATCCAGACCATTATTATTTCTAGTGTCTCCCTGTCCCCACTTCCCCTTACTCCACACGGTCTTTGATGACGCAGTGCCACATCCAGGTTGTGACTCTTGGTGTCACGTACCAATCTAACAACGGAGGGAAGCAGCTCTCTGGAAGCCAGGTCCTGCCAAGAGCACTTTAACAGGACCTTTCATTCGTTAATGTCCGGAACAGTGGAAAAGCCACTGGGGACTCAGTCATATGCTCCTACCCCTGCCAAGAATGCCACCAGCCCGGAGGAGCCGGGCATGGGGTGCCCTCCAGATATTTAGGCATTCACATGGGTACTGCTTCAACTCCAAAGCAGCTCCTCCTGGGCAGCTCTCAATGCCAGGTCACTGGAAGAGAGTGTGCAGAGCCTGTGCGTTCACTTAATTTGATTAGGAAATGGAGAGTTGCTCAATTGAGGCCACTCTAATTAGAGCAGCAGAGGTTAGAGTGTATGTCCGGACCAGCGGGAGCCCTTGGGAGACCAGGGGTGGGAGGGGCAGAAGTGGCCTCATGGAATACAGAGTCTGCAGCGGCAGAGAGGGGGGTCAGCAACAAAGGCTGACCAACAGGACCACCCCCACCTCCACTTATTCCGCCCTCCCCTGCCAGTGATGCGGCGCACCCAGCCTGGTGCAGAAGTCTCCCTGAAAACAGGGGGGGAGTGGAGGGTGCATCTTAAAACCTGCAGCCCAGGTAACAAGAGCTACGTAGGCAGAGCCAGAGTGGTCTCTTGGACCACGGGAGCAGAAGCGCACCCTGAAGGTCCTGTTACAGCTGGGCACAAACCAAGGCAGGTCTGACAGGGGAGAGGGAGCGCAGAGTTGTGTTCTGGTCCTGCTTCTGCAAGATCCAAGACCAGGCGGTAGAACCAGGCTGCTGCTAGACTGGCGATGAAGGGGCAGGAGTGCTGCGATGAGAGGTTTACACCGATTTTACTTTTCTGCGAAGGTCTCTAAAGCAGTGGTATTTTCCTTTGAAGAACACAGCTAGAGAAACAGGGCAGGGACACGGCTCTTGCTCTGCCCCGCATGGCTGTGCAAGGCATCCAGCGTGCTGAAGGCGAAGGGATTCCCGTGGAGCTGCTCTTACCATTCCCATCAGGATCAGCCTTGACTGCAGTGTACATCTCCCGGATGTTTTCAGGGGTCATCCACCTGCCATTCCCAAGCCGGGTGTGGGTCAACACCTGAAATTCATAAATGGATCAATACCGGGCACTGGTTTCTTGTACTAATGAAACCCTACAGATTCCCTGCTTGAGGCCTGGCGGGCTCTCCTCTGCAGAGCATCAGCCAGCCAGGCGTCAGCACGTCTCTGCAGAAAGAAGATTGCAGAGAGAATCATCTGGCAGCCATACACAGTGCGTGGCTGATGAATGCTGTTATTTCCAGTTTAGGTCATGGCAAATGACTGCTGGGACTCGATTAAGCAGTCATGAGATGGAGGGGGCACAGCTCTTTCTCTTGAAGGGAAAGTAAAGCTACTGATGATAAAAGTGAATGCTTTTACTTGTCCAAGATAAGGGCTTGGAACAAAATGCTTCCTTTCCACGTTGACAGAGAGATGCAGTATTCTGGAGAGCTCTCAGCAGGCTCTGACCTCCAGAGAAAGGAGCCTTGCCCTGGGTTGTCACTGGCACAGTTCCCTTACTCCACAACGTGTGCTGCCCACAGGACAGTACACAGCCCCAGCCCCACCTGAAACGGGAGCCTGGGGAGGGACATCCTTGAACTGCCAGCACCTGCCCTGACACACCCTCCCATACAGGGCAAGGGTGCAGAAGAGCTGTGGACAAGGTGCTCATTATCCCCCTCCAGGGTCATTAATAGGGGTGGCTTTGCTGATGTCCGGTCAATTGAGCGCAGTCAGTCCCCACAGGCTGCGCAAAGCGGTGCCTACGCTACAAACTCACTTCCCTGGGACACCCAGCAAGAGGAACCCCACAGCACAAGGAACATTTTATCCAGCATATTCAAAACACACATCTCCTGCCAAGGACCATTAATACCTCCCAATAGCATCACAACTGCTGCACATTTCCCCAGAAACTTCCACAATGAAGGCCAGCACAAGTCTTGAGACATAAAATAAAGCAAATACTGATCAGTATATACTGGGGTCTGCCCTGCCCAAGCACATGAGTAATCAAGAGACCATCTGAGGAGGGCACCCGACAGAGGGTCCCCCAGCAAACCTCCCCCAGTCTGTCCCGCAACTCTACCTCTTTGAGCTGCAGCTGCCCATCCTGATTGTGGTCCAGCAGATTGAAAATGTCCATCTGGCTGATTTCTATCATTTCCATGGCTTCCTCGTAGTCATCCGTTGGTAGGATCTGGCTCTTCTGCAGCCCCTTCAGCTGTGCCAGGTGGACAATGAGTTTGCACTCTTCCTCTGTCAGGAAGTCAGGAATTTCTGCAGCAAAAGTGTGAGCAGCAACAGAGACTGAGAAACTGTTACAGTGGGACCCCATATCGACGGCAGGCCAGTCAGAAGAAAATAAAAAGAGGGGGGGGGGGGGCAATTTAGAAACTGCCTAAGTTTGGGACATTCAAACACATCCAGCCTTTGACCAGAAGAGCTCTCAAAGAGCACACACCACACACCTGAGCTGCTGGAGGCAGGTATTTTTACAGCAGCAGTTCCTAAATGTTTGGATCCAGGGGTCAAGCCCTTAAACCCTCTCGTAGATACCACAATGGACAAAGGAGTGAACAAACACGTGCATATCACCGCATATTATCACTTCAAAGGTGACATGTGGATCACAGTCTGGGAACTGCTGCTCTGCAGGAAGGCAGGACAAAACCTTTGCGGTAGGCAGTGGTGATGGCCAGGGATTCAGGCTTCCTTGCTCTCACGGGGAGAGGACAGCACTTTGCACAAAACCAAACGCCTTTCAGGGGAACCTGGCACAGTGCTCTACTATGAAACTCAAACAGCAAGGAAACAACTTCCAAACTTATTCCCACTCTTTCCCTTGATCCCCCACTAAAAATGGCCTTCAAATGTGTTATTACAGGGGAAGACACCGCACATGGCGGATGCCACGCTCGGGGGGGGGGGTAGGGCAATTTAGAAACTGCCTAAGTTTGGGACATTCAAACACATCCAGCCTTTGACCAGAAGAGCTCTCAAAGAGCACACACCACACACCTGAGCTGCTGGAGGCAGGTATTTTTACAGCAGCAGTTCCTAAATGTTTGGATCCAGGGGTCAAGCCCTTAAACCCTCTCGTAGATACCACAATGGACAAAGGAGTGAACAAACACGTGCATATCACCGCATATTATCACTTCAAAGGTGACATGTGGATCACAGTCTGGGAACTGCTGCTCTGCAGGAAGGCAGGACAAAACCTTTGCGGTAGGCAGTGGTGATGGCCAGGGATTCAGGCTTCCTTGCTCTCACGGGGAGAGGACAGCACTTTGCACAAAACCAAACGCCTTTCAGGGGAACCTGGCACAGTGCTCTACTATGAAACTCAAACAGCAAGGAAACAACTTCCAAACTTATTCCCACTCTTTCCCTTGATCCCCCACTAAAAATGGCCTTCAAATGTGTTATTACAGGGGAAGACACCGCACATGGCGGATGCCACGCTCCATACCCAGGTAGTGTCCCGGTATCACCAGCTTTCCTTTGCAGCATGACACCAGCAGCAATCATGCAATACCGGGATCCCAAGCAAACTTAAATGCAGAGAAATCCACCGATGACTATGAGGCTAAGAGATTTCTAGCTGCAGGGTGCACTGGGCACGCACCTGCAAAGCGCTGGCAAGGTCCCGTTCCACAGCACAGTTACACTGTGGCCCAGCAGGTTGAGAAGATCCTTCTGGCTGATGTCTGTCACTGCTACGGGGACCTTGTTACCAGCTGCTGAGACTTTTGAAGAGGGAAAGAAAAACCACCAAAGCAGGACAGGTTTAAGTGCTCCTAGGCCCAAGGTCCTGCTCTCCAAATCGCAGCCCCCTAGAGCTCCCGCAGGTATGTGCCAAGGACACATTATATCTCCACTATAGCAGCAATCCTCAAAGGGGGGGGGGGCAGAAGTTAATTACTTCCGTGACCTTAAATCAACCCTATCAGCTCAAACTGTCAATAAGCAGTTGGCTTCTTGCTAAGTACAGACCAGAACTAGCCCTGGAGAAAACGAGAGGTTCCTGGGAAGCCCCTGAAACACAATGCAGCCGGCTGTATCCGTAACGCCCTCCGAGGAAACAATTTCCGCCACAGGCAGCACAGGGTCCTTGTGCCAGAGGATGCTTCAGAGCCGGAGCTTCCGCTGGCCGGTTTGAACCTCATGGCAAGGCACCAGGTCCGAATGAACCATGTGTGCTGGCAAGCAATGCCCCCAGTATTTCCAGTTCCCCAAACCGGGCTACAATAATGACGGCTTCTGGAATCTTAATTACGTGCTGGAGGAAGGACAATCCCGCTCTTCAGCGGTAGTAACGGGATTTTGTAATGAAGTAAAGATTCTGTTAACCGGAAAGCACGCTCTGTCACGCAGGTTGCAAGGTGAGGGGCTTTCCAGCTAAGCGCTGCCAATCCCCTCTGCAAACAACCTGGCTCCACAGCTGCAAATTAGTTCCTCTCTAGCCTCAGCTCTCTGAAACAGTTAACTTCTGGCTGTGAGACCATCCTATCTCCCTGCCTGCTCAACAATAGATCCAGCTAAACAAATGCCTCCTAATTGACTTTGAGCAACACTTGATTGCTTTTACAAAAAACAAAAGGGAGGAAAACATTGGGGTTTATGAAATAATGACTAATCCTGGAGCAAGAGAAAGGGGATGGGTTGGAGCACTGGTGTCAAACAGAGATTCAATCTTGGCTGAAAGAGCCCTAAGACACATGGGCCAAGTCATTCATCCCTCCCCAACTGCCCTCATTTCCACACCTGCTGATCTAAGCCAAACCCCTGCTAGAATCCAAACAATCGGGGCCGCTGGCAAATGAAAATTGGAGCATTGTCTTCCCCATGAGGGCTCTGAAAGGGCCGCACTTAATGAGGATGGATTGACAGAGAGGTGGCTTGTAGGCTATAAAAGACGTCCCACAGTTGGGAGCAGCTCAGTCCAGGGTGTGCTGCCCGTTCGCCTGCTCCCAGCTTGCTCCGAGCATGGTCACGGCCCACCGCAGGCACCCCTCGAGGTTGGGTGGCCCATGGCTGCTGGGTCTCCTGGCATGCCTGCTGCTCTGGGGCTCTCCAGGAGCCTGGGCGAGCTACCTGAGGAGATCCTCCAGCTGCATGCCCATTCCACACCGTATGGCCTTGTGCTACGATATCGGCTACTCCGAGATGAGGATTCCTAACCTGCTGGAGCACGAGACCATGCCAGAAGTGATCCAGCAGTCTTCCAGCTGGCTGCCCTTGCTGGCCAGGGAGTGCCACCCAGATGCTAGGATTTTCCTCTGCTCCCTCTTTGCACCAATCTGCTTGGACAGGTAAGATGTTTTTACAAGTTTTTTCAGCTGTAGCAAGTAACACTCCCCAAGAGCGCAACTGCATTTGCCTCCCGAGAGAAAATGCGTGCAATGTGCTCAGCGCCGTCCCCAAGAAGCCGTGCTGCCCCTCTCGGTGAGGGGCAATTGGATTACCCACCAGGGATCTTCCCTCTGAAAGTGAAACAGGAGCGTTTCATCTCACAGGAGCAGAAACAGTATGTTCCCTCCTCTGGATTTTCCGGCTCTCCCACCCCAGGCACCGCTGCCGTCTCCCCTGGCTGCCCCCCTTGCACATTACAGTAGCTGCTGGCACCCACCGGCTTCACCTCCCACCTTCCCCTGCAGCACCCTTCCCGGCTCCTGCCTGGACCACGCAGGGGCTTCCTCAGCCCGATGGTGCCAGCATCAGAGAGAAATCCTCAGTTTTGAGGTGCAGCCGTCAAAGGACAGAGCTGCTAAGGAAATCAGGTATCCAATTAGGCACCTGTAAAGGTAAGCAGCCTTTGCACAAATAGAGAAGATCCCTCGGAGCTGGGGTGAGGGTTTCTGGCAGCAGCCTGTATTGAACGGCCTCATCCCTCCTGTCCTCAGAAATTCATTGTTTGCTTCCTGGGCATGAATGTTCAAAACACATCAAAGGCCCCAAAATAGCTCTGCTAGCGCCACAGTGTGCAACACAGCCGTGTGGCAGCAGCGTGGTGCCTGGGCTCGACCCTCAGCCTGCTGCCAGAAGGAGCCCAGAGGTGCTGCAATCCCCATCCCCTCCCCAGGTCCATCTACCCCTGCCGCAGCCTGTGCGAAGCTGTCAAGAGAAGCTGCGCACCCGTCATGGCTTGTTACGGCTACCCCTGGCCCGAAATCCTGAACTGCAACAAGTTTCCTGCAGACCATGAACTGTGCATCACAGCAGTCTCCACAGATGAAAACTCCACGAGCAGGAGAAGTAAGTTGTTTTTTTTTTTCTCATATGTTTTCCCATATGTAACACTGAAAGCTCAAAAGGATGGGCCTATGCCTTGTTTCTATTCCTAATATTTCTGGGTTTAAGCTATATTTAAAAAAAAAAAAATAAAATTCTAGTTTTGTTCTCTCTGGGAACTCCACCGTGTCTAGAAAATTAGCGTAAAGTCAACTGCAGCTTGTTCCCCTCTCTACTGTATTCATTAGCTCCCCGGGTGCCATCAGACCACGCAGGGTTTGAGGCAGGGGGAAGAAATCGCTGTAAAAGCCTAATGCTCAGGCACAGCTTGTGTGCAGGCTCCAGGCGGCGAGATGTGCTTCCAGCGGAGCTAAGGAACCGCAGCTCTGATCTTTCAGTGGTGTCCAGGGCACTGGACGCAAAGCATTTATCCAAAAAATAAGTGTTTTGCAAGCCTTCTCTTTAAACATTAGGAAACACCACATGCCTCTGCCTCTGCAGACATGAGTTACACAAGAAAAAAATCTTTAAGACTGAAAGGCTAAATTAAACACCCAGATACTGATGAACACTGGGGGGGGATTCAAGAGCAGTTAAGGGGAGAACAGACGCCTCATTTCAGCATCACTGGATGGAGTCTGGCCATACCAATGGCTTTACTGTTTCATCCGAACTAGGAGATCTTCATTAAGCATTTTCACTGCTGCTTTAACGTGCAGCAACACACACAAGCCTAAACAAAGCACGACAAGCAGCGTCTGCCCCAGCCGCAGAAAGGAGAGCTTAACATTTCCCACCCTGGCAGCCTAAGCTCTCTCTCCAGGGACTGGGTAGCTCGGGAGGAAGCATCACTCGGAAACAGCAAGCCACCACTCGCAGATCTCAAAATTGCATTATGCCTTTTCCAGTGAAGCTTGACAAGGGTGTTATAACCAAATTTCTGTTGCAGCAGTGCCCCGAGCCAGCTGCAAGGACTGCGAGCTTGAGGAGGCCAGCACTGCCAGGGAGATCCTGGAAAACCTCTGTGCCAATGATTTTGGTGAGTAACCCCCCTCCTCCTCTCAGTTGCTGCTGCTCCCTCCAGCAGCCAAGTAGTGGCACGGACAGAAAATGGCTTTGCCGTAACAAACTGACTTGGAGGAACTGCAGCTTTCACAGCAGACCCCAGGGATTTTCAGTTCTCAGCTTACCTGTTTGGTAGCAGGAGGGCCCAGCTCCTGGCAGCACTGAAGGTGAAGAACCTGCTTTATTTCTGTGGGCTCCGATTTGGTTTTGGTCTGCGGCTGCTAAATACAAGCACTACTCTGGTTTTCCCTCGGAGACCAACGTTTCAATCGATGCCCATAAAAACCTTTAGCAAACTCCACGTTAGTTATTTCAAACTTCAATACTGTTGCTCTAGTAATGCGACTCTCCCTCTCCTAGCCCAAGCCGGTGGCAGCACTGGCTCTGCTCAATCAGCTGGCAGGAAGTTTTCAAGATACTGTCCTGAATTCAGGCACACAACCTTCATGAAAAACAAAAAAAGTTAAAAATCCTGGGCAGCTGGCAGTCATGTCACCTCCCGAAATCCCAGCTCGGAGAAAAGCCAAGTAATTTGCACGAGACCAGGACTTTGACGCATCCACTTGCCTGTGTCCCTGCTTCCTACAGGGTTTCTGCCCACGCAGTGGTGCTGATAACGCCTTCGCCACTCCCATGAGAAAAGCGGAGTGAGAAGAATGGTGTTCGGTACTGGAAACTAACCTCAAATGAGAACTTTTACAAGTTCACTGCAATTACAAGAGCTTGGATGGATGTGTCACCACATTACAGAAACAGCAAGAAAGCCTTGCGTTGGCTGTGTGTTTAAGTAGGTAAGAGCTATGAAAAGTAAACAGAACTAACAGCTCTTTTTCCAACCCCCGCAGCAGTGAAAATCCGAATCCTGAGGAAGAATATGACCACCACCATCTCGGACTTCGACCTGGACCCCTCCAGGGTGGAGGTCCTGAAGCACGGCCCGCTCCTCAGAACCGAAATCCCCGCCAGGCTCCAGCAGTGGCTGGACATAGATGCTACCTGTGTCCACAACATCATGAGAGGCACTCACGCAGGGGTCTTCATTGTAAGTGGCGAAGTACAGAGTGACAAAGTGGTGGTGAACAAGGCCTACGCCTGGCAGAAGAAGAACAGGAACCTGCACCAGGCGGTGCGGAGGTGGAAGCATCACCGCTGCCCTGAACAGGCTGGCCGGAAGGTCTGAAAAATCTCAATTCCAACAATAAGAAACTGCTCCTTTCCCTATGGCTAGAAAACTCCTTTCCCTGGCAGTTGGTGTTTTGGAGATGTACAGACAATATTTTTAGGTGATTCAAAGCAGTCATAGTCCACAGATAGGGCCTCACTACAGATCCCTCTTTTACCAGGACAGAGCTTAAGGATGCAGATTTAACATATTCCTCTTGCAAGGCTCTGCAGGTCCAGGACTGGCGATGGACGGCTTTGTGTGGGATCCAACGTCACAACAAAACTGAACTGAACTCTGCGGGCGAGCACAAACTAGAAGAGACCTGTAATAACAGTTTCTTCTAGTTGTCATCATTGAAGTTGATAGCCATTTCAGCTTCATTATTTGACCCTGAGACATTGATGCTGTCCAAGTGCCTGCTTGCTTTCTGTCCAGAGGGATTACATGAACGTCTCTGACTGCTAAGAGATGCTTTTTTATGTAACGGAGCAAATACTTTACTTTTGAGCAGTCCAAGGTAAATTAAGGGGGAGAGGAAGCCATCCAGGCATTAAAAAATTAATGCTAAACTCCGCTCTTGAGCTGAGTCAGGCTGTCCCTTCAGCTTGCTGCGCTGAGAGTTGATGAGCATCCGCACAGGTAAAAGGAAACAGGCGTTCTCAAGCAGGGAAGGCACAGAGCACAGACAGCTGAGGATTTCTGCATAACAGGGAAAACCATTTTTTAACATCAGAAACTAAGTTTGGATCAGAAGATTCTGGTAACTGGGGAACGACCGAAGATATCACAAGAGCCTGGAGAAAGCAGAGCAGGAGTGGGACATCAGCTGTTTAAACCTCCGCTTTGGTGTGCAACAGCAGCTTTGCTTGGGACTCTGAGGTGAGCCCTGGTGTGCAACAGCAGCTTTGCTTGGGACTCGGAGGTGAGCCCCGACCACAGCACAGACCACAGCGCAGCAGGAGATACTTGCAGTTCTGATACGGGGGGGAAGAAACGTTACACATCTGTCTGGCCTTCCCCCTGCACGCCGGGAAGACAGAAAAGGCGGCAAAACTCAGTCTCACCAAGTCCTCTGCAGCCCACTCTCTCACCCGTAGGGACCGTAATTCCCTGCAGGGGTAAACACAGCTGTAGCTCTACACTCCAGACCACTGAGCAGAAAACAGCAAATCCCCAAATGAGAAAACAAGTCGGATTTCTACTGCCTAACAAAGGACTCTCCGTGGAAAGTTTTCTACACTGGATTCAACTTGGGACTGAAATAAGGGGAAAACCAGCTTTTGTGAGAAACGCGTTCTGCCTCGTTCATGACGCCTGCAGTCTCAGTTGTGGAGAGAGCCACCCGGTTTGCTGGAGACACATTGCCTCCCCGTGCTCATAAAGCACACCAACAACCCGCGATGCGATCTCCTCTTCAGATTTAGCGTGGGCTGAGACGAGCACTCACGACACTCACACTGAAATTCAGCTGCGCCCTGACATTTGTGCAGTGATTACTTCTATTCCCTGAGGCTCCGAAGAAAACCACAGCGCGATTTCCTATTTTTATTCCTCCCTGCTACCTTGTCTTGCAAACTGCCGCCCAATCCACAGGATCCGCTGCCAGGTGGTCCCTGCAATGGCGGCATCTTCTGAACAGACTGCGTTTGGAAAACGCAACAGAACACATAAAAGCTCTGAAGGTTGAAAAGGCTTTGTCTGATATTTGTTTTCCATTCATAGGATTATTTGATTACTAGTGTTTCCTAACTAAAAAGTGCACAGATGGTCTGACTTACAAGCTTTAGAAATGACATTTTGTAGCCAGAGGGGGGAAAAAATAGGGCAGGGACTTTTTCATAGCTCCATGAAATACGCTTGGGTTCAATGCAGATGAAAGAACATTTAAAAACAAACCGCAGGTTCCCCTATGGTGCCCCGTGCCATGCTCCAAAGCACAGAGCTCACATTAAATCATTAACGAGCCATCCGCTGCTGTAGTCCCACTACAGCCTGCTCGGCTGAAAGCAAAGATCACAGACCAACCACTTATTTCCTTAAATTGGCTCTCGCATGCCGCATCGCTTTGTGTTAAGTAAAACCCCCAGAAATTCAAGAGTCCTTCTCTGCTAGCGACTTCTGGTTTTGTCTAACACAACCCAGTTAAACACACACTTCCACTCGTTTAAAAAACCGAGATGCAATAAATTAGGTGTTTTTTTTTAAACCAGTTGATTTAGATTGGTACTGTTTGCATAGAGAGAGAAGTCTGGAAGTCTTTCGAAGTCAGAGGTGGCTCCTGGCAGGTTCATCCGGGAGATAAGAGCTCTCTTGCGAGTTGCAGTTTCTAAATAAGGGACTCCCTATCGGAGGACAAAGGAGAACAGACTAGCGTGGCATCTCAAACGCTGAATGTCCGTCGCTGCCCGTGATACCATCCTCAGGGAGCAAAGCTTCCCCCAGAACCGATGGAGGTGCTGGAGTGACAAGTTAAAAGTTGTGGGATTACTGCTGCCAGGACCAACCTGCCTTTTCTCAACTTCAGCACCTTCCTCGCAGGCCAGGATCAACTCACTTAAGCCGTTCCAGTAGGGCAGAGAAGGTGGAAACAGGAGTTTTCCTGAGCGAAAACCAGAGCGACTGCCCCAGACCGTGGTTCTGGTAACGATGTCAGGTCTGGGAACGCAGGGGGGTATCAGTTCCAGGTTGGTGGGTCTGTTTACTGAATGTCAGACAGAAATCCACTTAGAAATGTGCATACCATGAGTACCACGTATGTAGAAATGACAAAAAAACTTTGTATATTTCTTCCAGATACTTATTGCATTAAAGGAGTTTAATAAGAAACTTTTCTGATCTATGGCCAGGCTTTCAGTGTGTTTAATCTATTTGGAATCAGAAAAAAACCCTCTTCTTATGTTATTGAGAAAGCATCTAAAAGACTCTCCATGCTATCTTTTCAGAGACAACAGGTTTTCCCCAACTTTGCCGTAGTAGGAATTTTGTAATCATCTGTCTCAAAAAATTAATTTGTATATTCTCAGTGGATTTCCAGAACAGAGTGCAATGAAAGGGACTTTACCAGTCACAGCAAAAGTCACAGAAAGGTAAAGAAGGTTTTAAAATATCTGAAAGAAGGACGTGGTGTGGTTGTGTATCAGAGCAGCCAGAAATAAAGATAAATCTAGAACAGGACGCAAAATGGTGGAAGACATTAAATCTATCAATTCTCCTGTTACTCATTTCCTCAGTACTGAAGCACCAACACTAAATTGCTTTATTATCGTTTATTACCAAAAGTTTGGGGATCTCTTGTCCCTTCCTAATGCTTAGCAGCTTCTTCGAGGTCCTCTTCAGTGATCTTCTGTCTATTCATGGTATTTTAAAGGGAATCTGAAAAACCTGGAAAGGTTAATCTTCCAAATTCTTCTAAGCGGGCCATCCAGAACAAGTGACCCCTGCGAACACTGTATCAAAATACCTTAAACAGAATCACACTAACGCCGCCCCAAGGAAAAGGAAAAGCGACACGGGGAGGAGAAGCGAACGCGCGAGAAGGCATTTTCCCCCGAGTGGGTGTCAGACAGCGGCGGGTGCGAGGCAGGCCCCCCCCGGCCGCGGTCAGCCAGTGCCCCCCCGCCGTCGGGGCGGCCGAAACCTCCCA